TATCACAGACATTTAGATCAACCAATGAAATGGAATTGATGATCCAGGAATAAAATCACATCAATAATGTCTGTAATCACAATAACTGTTTCATTAAAATTCAATTCAGAAGTAATAAAAATTAATCAAATGAGACAGAGAATTTGAGAAATGCAGGTAAAAAGGTTAACTTCAACCTCTTTCTTACATCGCTCAAAATAATTACTCAATGTGTTATTGGACTAGATGTAAGATATAACATTCTAACAATATCAGAAAGAAATAAAAACATACTCACAAGAGTACATATTTATGACCCTTGATTTCGGAGTATTTTGGATAATAGCCCCAAAACAAAGACTATCATAAAAACATGGAACGAACATAAAACTTGAAAAGTTTGCACTGTAAGGAACACCAGCCAGATGATGACAACCCAGAAAGTGAAATGTATTTTCTCCAATATATCTGAAGAATATAGTCACTATTCACAGAATACTTTTACCACTTAATGCTAAAATAAGCACGTAACCCAATTTTAAAAATTCAGAGAATCTAAATATTATATTTAAGATACATCAATGATCACTAAGCTCATGAAAGTATTTGCATCATCATTGATTATTAAGGAAATTCAAATTAAAACCACAGTAAGATAATATCTCACACTTGTCAGAAAGATTATAATATGAAAATAGTTAAAAGGAACTGTTGAGAAAAGTGAGAATAAAATGTATAAACTACACACTACTGACAGGATTGTAAGATGGGAGAGACCATTAGGAAACAGCACAGCAGATACTCAAACTATGAAATCTTTAGGTAACATATAGCCTAACAGTTTCATGTTGGGTATACATACAAATAATTAGATGTCATACATACCCACTGTTATGGCTTGTGTCTAGTTGTTTCTCCAAAGCCTCATACTATCATGGGAAGGGACTTCTAGAATGTGAGATTAACTCGTGATCCACTGGGATTCTGGGTGTGAGTACTTCCCCTAGCCTGGGACAGATAGCCTGAATGTGACATAAGAGAGACAGAGAGACAGATTTCCTCTCTGTAGCCTCTGTTGCTGTTACTCCTCTACTTTGCTCTCTTGCTCTTTGCTGCCGCCATGAAAGGTTGTTCTCTGCCATGTGTTAGTCTGCCTTAGAGCCAGCTAAGTACTGACTGAAACCTCCAGTAACTGTGAACTAAATAAACTTTTACTCCCTTCATTTTGGGTGTTTGGTATTTGTCCCAGCAATGAGAGAAAAGTAACTGAGATGCTCACAAACATTTTATATGTGTATTCCAGGTAGCACAACTTACGATAGCCAAAGAGACGAAGTCAACATAATGTGCACACAGGGAAAAATGATCAATACAGGTTATCAGTAGAAAGGAGAAAGGGTAAGAAGTAGAGATAAAGTGCTAAGATCTGCATGAATCTATAAACATGAAGTAGAAGTAACTGCACAAAGATCCATAGGCTGCACCACTCTGCGTGTATCGAGTGTCCACAACAGACAAATAAATGGAGTGAGGATGTAGGTTGCTATCTGTCAGTGGATGTGGAGTGTGACTGCTAATGTTCACAGGGCTTTACTTGAGATGATGATGAAAAAATTTCACAATTAGTAAAAGGTGAAAATTTTATGTTCTGAAGAGAAACCAGATTACATTCTACACATACAATGCAGTACAGCTGCACAGTTGTATGAATATACTAAAAAATCACAGAATTATAGGTTGTAACAGGGAATTTTATGTTAGTTACAATTCAGTAAATGTGCAATAAAAATTAAAACCATAATAAAATAATCATAATACCATATCTACCAGACCTCTATTACATCCAAACCTTCTAATTCATGCCCGCCCCAAAATCCTGCATAATCTAGGGTTTTCTAAGGAATGACCTTGTCTTTGTGGAAAGCTTGCTCTTTAAGATTTTTTACAGACATTCTGACATTTTTCTCTCCAACATATGAACAAAAAAGTATGGGGCATTGATTCAAATCTAATGTATAAATAAGAAAAACATAGGCCTCTCTAACTATGAAGTTTTAAGACAAACACAAGGAAAATATATGCCCAGTTTAAGATAATTCTACTCTGTCTTTTCTTAGAAGAAAAGATCAATAATTGGAAAAAATAAAAATGAGTACGGGTAAGTATGATTGAAATCATAGTTTATTTGAAAAGATTGCCAAACCGAATAAACAAGCAAACCTCCGAGAAGACATACATAAGAACACAGAAACCATAACGTCTGACCCTGGATTTGTTTTACTCCCTAGTTTGCCATTTCCTGTGGAGGATCATATTCCAAATCTGGGTTGACATTTACTTTCCTGGAAAAGCTGAAGAATATCTCTACAATATCATATTGTTTTAAAGCTGAGCTTCCGTATTGCTAAGAATTGACTGCATCACCTACCTATTTCTGACTCTTTTCATGGGTCAATTTACTGCTCCTTCTGTTTTCCTCTGCCTTCCAATACTGTCCCCCTGATCCCCCTTATAAAAGCCCTATTTTCTACTGCTCTGTCATTAGAACTTTGACAGAATGTGTGATGCTCTGAACACTCCATATGGTCAGCTCCCAGCAAAGTCTGGCTCTGTTGTGCTTTTTATTCCTTTCCCCTTGCCCCACTCTGCTAAGCAGCCTGTGTGTTCCAATGCCTCTGACCTTTGTAGAGGTTTTCCATGTAACATGTCAGTTGTCTGAGCCTCCCTTAGTCCACACCCATCTTTGAGATGTGCGAATCAAAAGCAAAGTGACAAATATTTTAAGGGAAAGAAGCTTTTGTTTGCTTACTCACTTTTAATAGTTTTACTGAGGTAGATTTCATATTTTGGATCATAGAAATATATACACTTGACGAACACTATTTAGTCAGTTTGTACATACAGACACTACAGGTATCACCACTGCAAGCAAGGTAATCCACACAGGTATCCTCTCCCAAATTTCCTTATCTATTTTTTGCTTTTCTTTTGATTCCTTTTGCTTTTTTGATTTTGTTTGAGAGAGACAAGAACACTTAATAAGTGTTGAGGGGACAATACAATATCTTTACTTTAAGTACCATACTGTCCTGTAGAAAACATCTGAACTTATTCATCAATTGTAACTGAAAAGTGAAAGTCATGGAAAAATTCCACTCAATCATTTCTCCATCTTCCAGCCTCTGTTCCTCATTATTGAATCTGATTCTCTGTTTCTATAATCCTCACTGTTACAGACCCTTCATGTAAGTGAAGTCACGCAATGTTTCCCTCTGTGCTGATTCATGACATTTAGCATAGCGTCTATCAGACAAGATCATGGGATTTCCTTTCTACAAGAAAAGTGCTTTGAGTCCTTATAAAAGCCAACAGTGGTGACTCAGAACTAAGGTAAAGTTACTAGAGTATATCCTAAAGTTTTGTTTCATTGGATTTTACTAGAGTAAAAGAATGAGCTCTTTGTGGATTTTCTGGGATGAGAAAAAGGACAAAAGAAAGCAGGGAAAAAGATATATTTATGTATATATGCCACACAGTTTTGATAATTGTACTGCTGACTTCTGCTGGTCTTTTGAAAGAAGAGGCTAATGCTTAAATTTTTTTTATTCTTATTATTTTTTCTTTTAAATTTCCTACAAATTTTGGTATTATTTTCTTTCTTTTCTTTTCTTTTCTTTCTTTCTTTCTTTCTTTTCTTTTTTTTTTTTTTTTGGTGGAAGCGGGGATTGAACTCAGCCCCTTGAGTTTGCCAGGGAAGTGCTTATTCTACTAAGCCATCTCCCCTGCTCCTTTGTTTTATTTTTTCTTTAAACCAATCTTGCACACTTATATCTGATATTCTAAACAAATAATTTAAGATAACCTCATGCAATACAACAACCATTGTTAAATTCCTATTACTTTGTTTAGTGAAATTATGTATCATTTCTAATGCTATTTTTCCATCACTATTTTGTATTCTTTAAAAATAAAAAATGAAGTTCATGGTTTATCCTTCTTTTAGAGACATATTTGCTAAATTTCTAGTTGTCCTATGAATATGTCACAGTTATTTGTTATAGGTGAGAAAAAAATCTATTTTAGGCATATCTAGGGAGTGGTCATAAATTGATAAGGCTTGAATTATTCCATAGACATTTTTATATAGGCTTGTCCTGAAAACAAGCATTCTATCAAGAATGTTCTTACATGATGTCTATCTCAGATGATGCTGAAATTAAGAAATATATAGAAAATAGAAATATTTTCTTTTTTGTATTAATTTTATTGAGAAAGAAATAGCAATGAGACAGTTTCAAAACAGGTTAGTAGGACAGTTACAATAATTAATACATTGCATATTGTTGTTTTAGTAGGAGTTATTCATACAAGATGCAGAAATGATATCTTGCCTAAACAGTATTAGTTCAAAGCCTTCTTCTCATTGAACTTACAGAAATATTTTCTATTGAATGTAGAAATAAAATATATCTTCTTGAGCATTGCAATAAATTATTAAATCTTAATTTAAGAAGATAATCAAGTTTAGGCTTGAGATGTAGACTTATACTAAAATAAATTTTCCAGTGAGAAACACAAAGGTTGCTTTTGATGTTCAGCATAGAGAGGTAAGTTATGCAAAGTCCATGTTATCTTGAATGTTACAAACTTGAAAGGGACAAGGAGACAGACACGGGATCAATATCATAGGAAACAGCTACTGTGGCTCTAACACAGCAAGGACTCAGCCAAGATGTTGGAAGACAAATATTTCCTTCTTATACATTCCAGCAACTATCATGTGACATGACCGTTACCAAAAAGGAAATTTGTTAGGTGTTAAGATTTAATAGTATTCCTTTAATTTATGTCTTCCTCTATGACGTTATTTTATGCAATATCAACCGCTCTCTGAAATCACAGCCTTCTGCAATGAAGCCAGTGAACCATGGGTTCAAACCTCTGCTTCCATGAAGCAAAATAAACTTTTCTTCCTATGAGTTGACTTTCTGAGTATTATGATGACAGCAACAAAAAGCCTACTAATTCAATACTACACTTCTGTTGACATAGAACTTTTCAAAGGCAATTTTTACATCCTTATTCCTCAGGCTGTATATTAGGGGATTAAGCATTGGGACAATAATGGTATAAAACACAGATGATACTTTCCCTTGGTGCGCAGAGCTGATTGATGCAGGCTGCAGGTACATAAATGCCAGAGAACCAAAGAAGAAACTTACTGCTGAGATGTGAGAGCTGCAAGTGCTGAATGTTTTGGACCTGCCCACAGCAGAACGAATCTGGAGGATGCTGGCTATGATGAAGACATAGGAAGTAAGGATAGTCAGTGTTGGGAGAAAAATATTAAAAGCACTTAAGCACAGAAGGACTACTTCATTGATAAAAGTACTAGAGCAGGAGAGCTCCAGTAGTGGGAAAAGGTCACAGAAGTAATGTTTTATTACATCAGCCTTACAAAAATCTACTCTCAGCATGCAGACTGTGTGAACTGTGGCACCAACCAAACCCATGCCGTACACCCCAGCTATCATCCAGGAACGGACTTGAGAAGACATAGTAACATTGTAGAGCAGGGGTTTACAGATGGCAGCGTAGCGGTCATACGCCATAGCAGCTAACATGTGACACTCTGAGATAACGAAAAAAAGAAAGAAGTAGAGTTGAATCATGCACTCAGGGAAGGAAATGATGTTCTTTTCTGTCACAAAGTTCACTAGCATTTTTGGGGTGATGACAGTGGAATAGGACATGTCAATGAAGGACAGACTGCTGAGGAGATAGTACATGGGGGTGTGCAGGTGAGAACTGAGGCCAATCAGCATGATCATGCCCAGATTCCCCACCACTGTGAACACGTAGATTGCCAGGAAGAGGAGGAAGAGAGGCAGCTGGAGCTCTGGTGTCTCAGTTAACCCAGCAAGGATGAAGTTCGTCACAGTGGAATGATTTCCTTTTGCCATTTCCCTCTGAGAATTTCATGAAAGGGAGGAGAAGAGAATTGTGATACCTAGTTATGAAATATAGAACACTAAATATAGATATAAAACACAATTCTGTCCTTCTCATTCTCTTTTCCCCATTCTCAATGAGATCTGATATGTCATTTGTCAAAGACCTTGAGATTTCAGAAATATGACACATGGAAATAAATATCTAACAGAATTATTTATATGCTTCTATGGCATAAATTATTAATAATATCTTGTTCTTGAATATAAAAGGAAAGAGTTAGAACTTCATCTTTTTTAATCATATAACTTTTACCTAGACTATATAAGGAATCTATTTAAAAAAGCACTGTGAGAACTAAGTAAAAGCTTAATGAAGGTGGTAGAACACAAGATTTTTAAAAATCTATAATTTTACACAATTAAAATTAGCAGTAAGGCTAGCAAGATAACACAGCAGACTAAGAACCTCCTTGGTAAGCATAGAGACCAGGTTCCAAGCCCTGTCCTGAATGCTGTGCCAGCCCCACCCCTAAGGCATGCTGAGCCAGGGAACGAGTCTAGGCTGGTGGCACACTACTGTAAGCCCAGTGTTGGGGAGCTGAAAACAGGAGGATCACTATGAGTCCAAGCTGTGTAGTGAGGCACTGTACCCAATATATGAATGAAAAAAAATAGTATTAATATACTGAGCTATAGAAGGCTCAAGTCAACAACTTCTGACATTGCCAGTTCTGCTGATAACTCACTACTATTATGGAGGATTGGACTATACTGGGTTATTTTGCTGAATTCATGCAAAATGGCAATGGAACACCTATCTCTGACAAAACAAAAAAGGAGGATATAAATGAAGGGCTATTTTGTAGTGAAAAAAAATATATATATATATCTGTATATACAAAATGGTTAGGATAGCTATACAGCTACTTTCTCTTAGTTAAATTAGAAGAAAGATTTGTACTAATAGTGTCTAGACAAGATATCATGTCTGCATCTTGTATTCTGAATAACTACTATGAAGACAACAATATGCAATGTATCAATTATTGTAACTGTCCTACTAACCTATTTTGAAACTGTCTCATTGCTATTTCTTTCTCATTAAAATTAATAAAATAGATAAATAAATGATAAAAATACAAAAATTATCAGTAAAACTCCATCTGGAATAATAATATACAAAAAAGAAACAAAATGCTTAGGGTTTCATTTAGGAAAAGAAATGTTAATAGCATTGTAGATATAATTGTTAAACATGGAGTGAAATTAAAATTCTTCATAAATGAAGAGTTAATCATATCCATGAATGAAAAACATATAACAGTGTAGAAATTATACTACTCCTGAAATTGATCTACAAATTCTGTGTCACCCTGACAGAATCCTAGCTGTTATATGCAGATATTGACAACTGAACCACAAAATTGAATGAACACATAAGAACTCGGAATAATACTAGTAAATCTAAAATAGAAGGACCAAGTAAAATATTTCATATTTTCCCTTTAAAAACATACTATGAAGTTATTGTAAACAAAGTAGTGAGGTAATTAAACTCAATGACAAAGTGTAAACCCACATGCATAGTGACCTCAAATGATATATTTCACTTGGGATTCAACATTTTTGTGTCCAATACATCCTGCTGGGACAATTAGAGTAGTAAAGGTACAAGATTAATTTGGGCCACATTCTCAGCATATCCAGCATAATTGACTCAAAACAGACCATAGGATTAAACATAACAGCCATCTTCTACTTTTTTTTTTTTTAAATTTTTCAATACCAAGGGTTGTACTGAGGACCCTGCACTTGCCAGGAAAGTACTTATTCTACTGAGCTGTCTCCCTGGCCCATCATTTTCTAATGGTATCAGTATAATGACACAAGGCTGAGATGGATGTGACCCTTTCCTTGGGAAAGGATTCTTAGAAAATATGCCAAAACCAGAAACTGTCTTAAAGATACGCATATGAAAATTGAAAAATTTTGTAAAGAACACTACATATCAAAATTGAAAAACATGTTAAGAACAGTATGTAGATGTCGAAAAGAAAAAAATCAAAAAGGAAAAATAACTGCAAGTGCTATATCTGGAAAGTACCTTGTAGTTAATATTCATTAAAAATAAACTTTTAAAATGTAGAAGTTTTAGGACAAATAACCAAATTTTAAAATGTTCAAAGGATCTGAACAAATATTCTTCTATTTAAGACATGTGCATGACTAATAAGTTTGTGACAATATTTGTATCAGCCTTGATTATTAAGGAAATTCAAAACAAAACCACAATAAAGTAACATTTTACATCCTTCAGGAAGATTGTAATCAAAATATAAATGAAAATAAGTGCTGGAAAGAATGTGAATGAATATTAACAAATAAAGATGGTAATATTGTAAGGTGGTATAGACTGCTAGAAAATAAACTGGCAGTTATGAAAAATGGAGTTTTGATGTAATCTAGCAATTTCACTGCTAGGTACATATAAAAAAGAATGGAAGACAGACATGCCCACAAAAACTTGCACATAAGTGTTCAGAGCAGCATTACTTATAATAGTCATAGAGGTCTCCGTAAGGGAACCTAAAACATGTGAGATGAGAAAAACCACACACCGAAGTTGACCCTTGCCAGAATCCACTTAGTTGATTTAGAAGAGACAAATTCAGAGTCAGAAATCAGCCAGGTCCCTGCCAGCACCTGTGGACAGGAGATGTTGGATAGGACTGCTAAAAGTTGTGCAGCTTTACTTGGTGTGGTACTGAAAATAATCAACAAGTTAAACACAGTTATGTTTATACAAACCCATACATTTACTCCCCAAATATCCTCCACTGATTTGTAAACTTGGAAGTAGTGAATTATATGTTATTTACAATTCAGTGAAAATATGCTGTAAATCTGAAATCCATAAGAAAGTAATAATGACACCACACTGACCACACAAACCTTGCTCATGGGGGTTTTGCCTGGAGTATTTCTCTCTCTTTATGACAAATGTGCTCATCAGGTTTTTCTTCGAGAAATGTGGCATGCCTACACAGGCACACATGTATGACTGTCACACCAACTGCTTGTCCCATCAGAGCCTGCCCTGTCTTTGGAATTTTGACAGCACGTGTGGGGTTCTGACCCATCTCATCTGGCCAGTTCCCCACAAACTATGTATGACACACGTTCTTCCTCTCCCCTGGTTCCTGGTCTGCTCTGATAACTACACCTGTGTGTTTGAATACCTCTGACCTTGGTGCCGATTTCTCGACTTGTCCTGAGTCAGTTTTCTGAGCTTCTTTGATTCAGGGCCATGTTAAAGATGAATGAATCATAAGCAAAATGCCAAAACTTTTAAGGAAATGAAAGGGTTTGCTTATTCCTTTATTCCTTTCTTAATAATTCTATCAAGGTAGAATATAGTTTTGGAATCAAAGAAAGATGCATACTTAATATGCACAATTTAATCAGTTTGGATATATGCAAACACTATCAATATCAACACCACAATCCTGATGATCAATACATGTATCACCTCCCAAAGTGTCCTTGTGTCCCTCAATACTTAATGTGAGATTTACCATCTTAAATTTTGAAATATTCAATACCACCATGATAACTTTATGTAGGTGCTCTGCTGTCCTGTACAGAATATCTTTATAGCTTTCTAATTTAACAGAATAGATAGCTTAAACTCACCATGAAACTCCTCCATGTTTATCCTCACCTTCCGGCCCCTGATAACTAGCATTCTGTTTTCTGCTTTATGAGGTTGCCTGATGCTGGTGCCTCACATAAGTAGAATAAACCAGAATTGTGCTTCTCTGACTGGCTCCTTTCATTTATGATACTATCTGTTGGATTCCTGCACAGTTTTTCAAGTAAAAGATTTCTCTTGAGAAAAAAAAAACCTAGTAAATTCTTATATAAAAAATGTTGTTTCAAAATCACCCCAAGATTGGTGAAGTAGATCCAGAATTTTTGTTTCAGTAAAATTTTACTAGATTGGGCCAAGGAGATAGCTCAGTAGAATAAAGTGCTTCCCTGGCAAGCACAGGGGCCTGAGTGCAATCCCCGGTTCCAAAAAAAAAAAAAAAAAAATCACTAGATTGATAGAGTAAAACAGTAGGATAATCATAGATTTTTCCAGATTTAGTAAACTGTTAAATTTTTTCTAGTGTTTTGAGATGTGACAGTTATGTGCTATAATTAAAGAACAGACTGAAATAAGAATTTGTTAAAAAGAAAATAGAAACTAGGAAGGTGAATAGGGAAAGGGATGAAGGAAAAAGAAAGAGAAAATGCAATTTAAATTCACTATTAGTCTCTCTTAGTGGATAGGAAAGAAAAACCCGTGCTGATATTGATTGGAAAATATTTTATGCCCATGTCTCATACTCTGAGTAATTACTTTAAAGATAATAGAATGCAACCTATTTATTAACGTCAGTCTACTACTATCTTATTATGAAATTTTCTTTTACCTTTTTTCCATAAAATACAAAAAGAAAAGAGAAGAATATTTCAAAGTGAGGTGAACTTATGGAACATCTAAAAATTAATAAGAAAGTCAAAATTCTTCATTCTTTAGTCCAGAAAACATTATACCCTCAGGCTTATCTTGAAAATAACATTCTAACAGTAACTTACATGATTTAATACATATAAAAAAGGAAATTTATAAACAATAATTATGAATGCTGACATGACAAAACCATCCAAGAAAATATTTTAGGCTGTGCAAGGGGAATGAATTAAAATTTTAAGAAATTATAATTGAAACAGTTCTGAAGACATTCAGGATAGAGACAAATTACATAGAATCCTTGCTCTTTAAAAATGTTTCAATCCAGAAAGGCCAAGGAGTCAAACTTGGGGACAAGGGACTAAATATCTTCCCAGGAAGTGTCCTACAGGAACATATCTATTACAGTGTGAGTGCAGAGCCAGGCTAAGTGAAGGTTTTGGAAAAGAAACAAAGAAATTTTAAATTTTCTGCTAACAATTATCATAGGAAGCAA